TTTAGATATAATGAGAACCATATTGGTGTCCTAGTAATATTTTTATGCCTCAATAATCCCTAAATGTTAGATCAAAAAGTGCTGCGGTGTGATATATGATAGTGTGATGGCCCCGTGTTGTTGGCACAATGTATGCCTGTGAAAATTATGTTGTATTTGATGAAACTGAGGATAAAAGATAAAAAAACGACTTGTATTTGTATGTGTAGATTTATGAAACACAAAACTGGAGATGCATGCATGAGTAAAATTGTGAAGGTAAAATATATCCTGTGGTGTAAAATATATATTTGATCAGACCCAAAGCTAGAGTATGATCGCGCTGTACTAAAAAGCTTGTATGGAGGCATGTAAAATATATAGAGCGAGAGAAAGAGATAGTCATGTGTGTAAAATTCAATATCCTTGTACGCGGCGTTTCGTCCTTCATGGTCTCATGGACTCGATCGTCAGCATGGAGTTGGGGTTGGCACATGTGTAAGAAGGATAGAATACGGAAACCGATTTGGATTACAGAGTCAATAAACATAAAAATAGCAATATTTGTGTATGACTATTGTAAAATAAATGTAAATTAGTAAAAAGTGTCTTACCAAATTCGCTGATATTTTTGTCAACCAACACGTTGGGCCATGGCGATGGCTTATAGCCTTTATATAGAGCGTCTTTCGCTACGTACGACAGATAAAGGCATACCAGTAGGCATATCAGAGTTTTAGAGTATGAAGCTTGTCTGAGTAAACGCGTTTGTACGCCATGATCCCTTGACATGCTGTTCGCTTCAGATGATTTGGCGCAATTGAATTTGGCGCCCAAAATTTTGTAAACTTATATTCTGAAGTTCTAATATGCAGCAATTGGTGATGACAACTTGACAAGTCGCTTCATAAACAAGATTATATTTTTCAATGATTAAACTACATCTCATTACTTGGCATTAAATTACATGCAAGGGAAAATAATCCAGGCTATTAATTGGAAACAAATGTCAACACCTTTCACACTTTTCCTATTAATGCTGCGTTAAGCAACACCTAAAAGTTAATCCTGTTTAAACCCGTGCGGCTCGTCATGAGGTAGTGATGATAGGTTTTGTAGATGGGAATTTCGATCGCGAGTGTAAATCTATACATTTAATTTAATACGATCTAATAGAAATATTTTACCACTGGCCGTTAGTGTAGTTGTCAGGCCCGTCGCTATAGGGGGGAGGGGGGGGTGACACCCGGCCCTGAAAACGTCTTGTCGGCAAACTATAACGGATTTATCGACAAATTGTTTTCGTAGTCAGCGAAAATATTTGAGTGGCGCGGATTAAAAAAAGCAATAGTTATAGCAAAAAATTTGATGTAAAAATGTAACAAATTATGATATATCTGGAAAACTTCGTATATCCGAAAAAAATTACGATATGTCCGAAAAACGTTTCGTATGTCCGGAAAAAATATTAGTTAGCGGCTGAAATGTTGTCGGAAATGTCGATACTACAACCCCCCCCCCCCCCCCCATAAAGGAAACGATCAAGTTTATTAGTCGCTGGGGCACTCTGTGCCTCCAGCGACTATAGGTTTCGGCTTCATCGCGGATTGTTGGTCACAAAATGACCTACGTCATTTTTTTTGTTAAACATTACGTCATTACTTTCAGTCGCTGGATTCAAGATGGCCGCTTACTTGGGAGCGTATTTGGAAATAATTTCATCGATTTAGTGCATATTTTCTTCATTTTTTCGATGAAACTTAATAGTTTTCCCATCAGCCAGACTTTATAAACCGAAAGTCATCTTATATGAGTAAACTTGGAAGGCTGGAAGCCTGAAATAGACGACCAAAGTTCACAATTTTCACAAAGTTGGAACTTCGTAAATTGCAACAATAAATATATTCGCAAGTTGCTGTTTATTTGGATGTAAATAGAATCTGCTTAATGGGACAAGGCTTTAATGGAGCTCCTTGCCTTGCTGGCAAATGATATTTTAAAAGCTCTCAGGACAGCTGTAATCTCACAATAGGTATTGTACAATGGGCTATTCCATTTAATATCCGTTCACCCCCTGTCGAGGATACATGTTTTTCATGGTTATACCGCTGAAGAATTCCAAGCTTAAAACCTTTTACCCCTGAAGAATTCCAAAATTCCAAGCTCAAAACCCTTTACACCTGAAGAATTCCAAGCTCAAAATCTTTTACCCCTGAAGAATTCCAAAATTCCAAGCTCAAAACCCTTTACCCCTGAAGAATTCCAAGCTCAAAACCTTTTACCCCTGAAGAATTCCAAGCTCAAAACCCTTTACCCCTGAAGAATTCCAAACTCAAAACCCTTTACTCCTGAAAAATTCCAAGCTCAAAACCTTTTACCCCTGAAGAATTCCAAGCAGAAAAGCCTTTACCCCTGAAGAATTCCAAGCTCTGAAAAATTTCAAATCAAACCTCCTTACCCCTGAAGAATTCCAAGCTCAAAACCCTTTACCCCTGAAGAATTCCAACCTCAAAACACTTTACCCCTGAAGAATTCCAAGCTCAAAACACTTTACCCCTGAAGAATTCCAAGCTCAAAACCCTTTACCCCTGAAGAATTCCAGGGATCCTCGACAGGGGGGGGGTACGGATATTAAATGGAATGGCCCATTTTCGGCACAAATGTGGTGCAATTTCCGCACACATTTGCAAGGCTATATTTTCCGCATTTTACTACATTTCGCAACCAAACTTTGCAATTTTACTCATTTTAGTATCCTGTTTCCAGGAATGTACTTTTTTTGCCAAGTTAAAAAAATTAGTTTATAATGGGAATTGTTTGTTCTCATGCACTCTCATATCGTTGTTTGATCCTATAAAAGACTGCCGAGTATGGCATATTGCCATAGTGATTTTTTAATAATAATGTGCTAAGAAGTATTCTCTTTGTATACAGATAACATGGAAAAAACCCAGTTACAAGCAATGGACAATCGTATATTTGCCGCAGCTAGGCAATTCTTGTTGTGACTGAGAAATAATAATTTTAAACCCTAAAATTTCTCAGTATTGGCATCTGAAATACTTTGATTCTGATTTTGCATAAAGTTCATTAATTTGCCAACATACCAATTAAACAACACTTGTAACCAGTGGTGTAACGCTCATTAGGTAGGGTTAGTTAAAAAACTAACAGACATTCAGGGGCCCCCATCAGCCACGGCTTATCACCCAGAAAATTAGAAAATGTAAAACATGCAGGTTATTCCATCAACAAATATGGTAGCTGATTTTTTTTATTCCATCTCAAATAAAACAAAAGTTATTCTTATTAGTTGTTACATGTGTTGGAGACTGTTATTGTTTTTGTTATGGGCACTGAATTTTCCAGAACTTTTTATGAATATTGAATATAAATATAATATCTCAGTCAAACATTGACAACAGTCAACAAGGTCCCGCACACCAAATATGCCTAAGGGCCCCAGCTTGTCCTCCATTACGCAGATCTATGAAGAATTGTGTTTTATATAATAACTACAGTGAAACACGCAATTTGATTGGTCAACTGCCGTGCAGGATCAGACAATCCTGCACGGGAAATTCTGAACAGAAATTCTTGCACATAATTTTACAAATATACTCGCATTGTAAAGTTTCATTGTACGATACCTTTCGACTTTGAAGTAAGTTTGCAATTATTGAGACGTTGGTTTAGTTGTATGAATAAATTTCTGATCGATACATTGCTGTTCAGCAAGTAGCAACGCGTAGCGTTGAAATTCATCAGACCATGGCAAGTACAACATCTCTCACTAGTCGCTTCAAAGTTCAAACACTTCGTAATCTTCAAGTAATCAGGTGGACAATCTACAAAACTACTTTGGCTCTCTGTTTAGCGGGTTTTCCATTTCAAATCTCGTAAATTTTATGGAAAAAGTCTCTGTATTTTCGCTGTATATTTTCGCGAATTGGCGATCAAATTCTGTTCACATATGTTGTTGTTTTCAATAGCGTGGAGAGTAGCGATTCTCCGATTGGTTAATTGACTTAATTCACGATTGTTGTGAGAACTGCACATTTCATCAGTAATTTTAATCAAGTTAACTGTCGTTTCACTGTAGTAATTTTATAAAACAATTACCAAATGGTTTTCCCGTGCAGGATAGCATGATCCATGCACTTGGGATGTTGCTCGACTTTCGGAAAGCATAAAAATACCCTCGCCTACGGCTCGTGTATTTTCACGCTTTCCGAAAGTCTCGCAACATCTCTCGTGCATGGATCACGCAATCCTGCACGGAAAACCATTTGGTATTCCTTTAATATTACCTAGGACCTGATCATTTGAATTCCTGAAAAATGTTCACCACAAAATAATGTTGTTAAAAAGCTTGAAAATAAGTAATTTACAATCAGGGTCTGAAATTTAAATATTTTCTGAGTATCCAACTGGGATACCAGGATTCAAAGTTTAGTATCCCCCCTGAGAATGCAGTATCCCACTTCTGGATACTGGTTACCATAAGTATTCTACCCTGTCCCATCCATTAACTCTCGCTGTTACAAATTACAGTAACAACAGGAGATTCAATGTTCAGTCAGGTTGTCAACAACTAGACAATTCATTAATCCACAAAAATGCACATTATATGAGAAAATGCACATTATATCGGGAGACTATCAGAGGTGCTTAACATTTTCCTAATGTTTGAAATTTTCTTAGTATCCAGTTGGGATAGTCATTCACAGTCTGGTATCCAAAACCAAATTTTAGTATCCTGTGAATATCGGGATACTGCAAATTTCAGACCCTGAATTGGCAGTCTGTGTCATAGAATAAGAAATGAATAGAAGGGCAACTCGCGTGTACAATGCGTAACCAGTTTCAGTGCGCACGCGCGAGATCTCTCAAGCTCGCAGCCAGTAAAGCCAGTCAGTGCAATGGGGATTTGTATTACGAAATGTACATTTTGATCACAAAATCGATTATTTTTCGGAAACAAAGGATTGGAATATCAAACTACTACAACTGCCTGCAGAGGCAATGTAAGCCTAAATTATTATAATTGTGGCTAGCATAGAAAGAAATGAATATTTAGGGAGAAATTTGATATTGTTGTGTGAGGTACAGTCTGAATCTGAATGAAATGCTGACAGTCGATCGTGTATACTGTGTTGTTTATTCCGATTTTCGAGGTTTATGTCGAATCTTATCAGGACAGGTTTTGGATTGCATCAAATTTTATTTAAAAAAGTATAAATTTCAAAGTCACGGGCAATTAATCAAATTTATTTCGTGTGGGAAGTTGTCTGTCTGTGTCTGACATGTTGAACTACAAATACAAACAATATCAGAAAATGATGTTATTTATTTATGTAATTAAAATATCACGATTATGAATTAACATTCGTACCTATTACTACAATATTACTTCGAAGACATCGAATTTTTCCAATAAATAAACCAAACTATCATATGTTAATATTATACTGTACTTTATACTTTGTAAAACAACATGTATTAATATGTTTAAATTTTGCATTTAGCAATTCTTTAACAGCTCATAACCAACACAAATGTATTCACTAACCTTCAAATTACAACCAGCGGCCGTGGTTTGTAATTTGAATCGTTCGTTTGCGAAAAATAGTCGATTTATTCTGCCAAATGGCCATTCTGCAATACAAATCTCTAACAAATTGACTGGCTTTACTGGCTACGAGTAATTAGAGCGGGCAATTTCCAGTATGCGCGAGGCGACATGTGCAGCTTCAAAAACTTCAAAGGTTTCGACTCAAGTTGCCCTTCTATTCATTTCTTATTCTATGTCTGTATATTATTATATTTATGAGATTGGAAATGCATGCATGTTAATTAACAGTATAGTTGTCATATTATCTGGCCGGATACCAGATATTTTTTATATTAGGGTTAAATGTTTAACCCTTTAAGTGGCAATGTGCCCAGATTAACCCTACTTTATTATTTTACTTGTCAGAGGGAGAGAACTGTCACTCAATGGGTTAATCAGACTATCTGTGCATGCACCCTGTTTTATTATTTTACTCTGTCTAACACCAGACAATTTGTCGATTTTACTCATCAGGGAGAGAGTGCTGTCACTCAATGGGTTGAAAATAGTCTGAAACGTCCATGGACAGAGTTTGAGAAATAATAATCAATTATCGCTTCCCAAATGTAGAACTGGGAGGTTTAAGAACAGTTTTATCCCGGCAATGTGCTATAGTCAAGTTGACGTATAGGCCTTTATGGTCTTAATTAACTTGTATAAATTATTAGGTTTTAACATTTATATTAGATATAGTAATTCATATTTTAGCATTTTTGTAAATTTTAGTATATTTCCATGTAAGCATATTGTAATTCATTTTCAATGCGATAATATGCAAATAAACCATCAATAATAATAATATATTATATATAATATAATTATATCTGAAACGTTCTCTGATCTCAAAATTTATATAAATTTTATGGTCTGAGGATGTTTCAGAAACGTTATTATGAATCATGGTCACGCATCTAAGGGGTTGAATATCAATTGGAATTCAGTTTCTGTTTTCTTCTTCTGTCACAGCATTTTCTAGTTTTCTAGTTATTGTTAGTACCATAGATATCTTATATACACTAGATAGCGCATCTCTTTTAGTAAAATTGAAGCCAAGAATATTCCTGTGGTTACCCCCATTTGAATAGATGGCTGCCATGTTGGAGTTTGCCACTCGCTAATAAACGCTTAAAAACAACAATAACTTTCATCATTTGAATAATTTGAAAATGTATTTGGAATAGGTTTAATTAACTTAAAGGTGCTCTACAGTCTGTATGTAAACAAAGCCTTTGCTTACATTTTTGTGTCCAAAATATTGAGCTTTATTCGACAACTATTTATATTTTCAAGCTTCTAGGGTATAATAAATGATCAAGAAACAATAATCAGGCTTTTCAAGAACCCAAAACATACATTAGTTAAACTGTTTGTATCATAAAAAGTGGACCCCTTTGTGCACATGCGCAGATCGGACTGTAGATCATCTTTAATGTTTAAGTTCCCTGTTTAAGAAATAGAAAACACACAAGTCTTCTTATTTCATGGGAATATCCCGAGTCTGCAATCACAGCTTCAATTTTTGAATTGCAGAATAATTAGATGCACTATCTAGTGTATATAAGATATCTATGACCGGTGCAGCTGTAGCATTTTTAACACTAATTTTCAAATTTTCATAATTACTATATTTCTTGAATTTAGGATTACCAGTGTTAAGGTGCATTGTGCCCTACTTTAGGGTAGGGGTGCACCGGATTTCAAATCCGGCCGGAATTCCGGCCTGATTTAACGAATTTTCCGGCATCCGGTATGCAGCCGGATTTGGAGAAAATCCGGCCGGATTTAAATTTCTGTTTTCACCTTAAAAATTCACCAAGAATGGGATAAACCATCAATTTGGCAGCTTTAGAGTTTAAAAAACACTTATATTATTATAAAATATTAAGTTATTAACAAAAAAATATTTAAAAAAGGTTTAATTAAACACAATCAAAAATCTAAACTGACACTAACTAAAAATAGTAAAAAACATAAACCGTCATTTTGAATACTGATTTATTCACAATTGTCCCCATTACCGGTTTATTTTAAATCCGGCAAATCCGGCCGGAATTTTTGTCCAAATCCGGTAAATTTGGTTCCGGCCGGATTTGAAAATTCCAAATCCGGTGCACCCCTACTTTAGGGGCTGATTACTGTACATGGGCCGAGTTGTCCCGCTTTGCCGAGTTGTCCCAGCTAAGCGAGTTGACTTTTGAATTGCGATTACATGCACCGCGCTAACCTGGCTAGCCGGGCTGAAGTAGCTCATTTAAAATTTGTAATGCTTAACAATTTATACTCGGTGTTAGAAATCGATTAAAAATGGTGTATTTGAGGACTACTTTACACACTGAATGTTGTTGGTTGAGGTAGTTATACTTAGCGCTGATCCCAACAGGCTTATACTGTTTGTATTCTAACAAAATTGTGTCACTTCCTATCTAAACCTTGAAAACGTTAATTAATATCATTTTGATGTTATTTGAAGTTTTTTTAACTTATATTTGTACATATAATCAAAATTAAAACATGCATAAGTGTGGTTTTCAGCCCGCTTTGCCGAGCCAACTCAGGAAAAAGCGATTACATGGGATGTGTGGGCAATTTCTGTCCCGGCTAATCGAGTTGACTCGGCAAGCTACAGTCGCGGTCCTGGCAAGGCGGGACAACTCGCTTTGCATATAATCGAAATGTCAAAATAATAGACAATACATATAGGAAGCGGGTCAACTCTGCAAAGCGAGTCAATTCGCTTAGCCAGGACAACTCGCCCATGTAATCGGACCCATTTTATTCTGTCTGACACCAAATGATTTTACTCATCAAGGGGAGAGCGCTGGTATTCAACCAGTCCACATGTCACATGTTAATCTAGTGAATTGGTTAACCACCTCCAGGGCTTAAAATAACGTTCCCAAAGTGCCTGATCATGGTGATCGGCAGTCATGACTTTCCCTGCTTTTTCAGGTTGGAAACCCTGCTTTTCCACCGATCATAAGCAATTTCTTGTCGATCATTGATTGATGTTTCAATTCTATTTCAGAACCATCCTCAGAGATACGAAAAACTAGTTTGAATTCATATTAATATGACACTGCAATCGAGCAACAAAAAATTTGTTGGCTCGAGCGGGATTTGAACTCGCATCTTCGGGTATCTAGACCGCCGCTCTACCTATTGAGCTATCGAGTCAACAGGGATTAGTAGCGAGTCTTATCCAATTTAAGTGCACGAAATATTTTTGTGACGACTTAACGCTTGTTTTGGAGGACGCGCAGTGTTACGAAAATATGTCATGCACTTAAATTGGATAAGACTCGCTACCAATCCCTGTTGACTCGATAGCTCAATAGGTAGAGCGGCAGTCTAGATACCCGAAGATGCAAGTTCAAATCCCGCTCGAGCCAACAAATTTTTCGTTGCTCGATTGCAGTGTCAGATTAATATGAAACTAGTTTTTCATTGATTGGTGATCGGCTGTTATTTCAAGCCCTGGAAAATCATCAGAATGGTTAATCTCTATCTGTATATTTTATTTCAGGATCTGGTACAGTTTATCTGGAGTAACCCAAAATATATGAGGATGTTACAAACTGGATAGCAAAGTGGAGAGTGAGCGAAATATTTTGATATTCAACCTGCAGTAGAGTAGACCTCTCTGGTGACCTATTACATAAATGACAACCTTGCGTTAACAAACATCCTTATAAATGACCATAAACAGTAGCTACGATCGAAAAAGGACACACCACAAGACCTAATCTCAAATGGTATGCATTGTCTTTGTACTTATATATAACACCCAGGTTTTGCAAGTTTCTCAACACACCTTTCTCTTTTCATTTGTCTTACATATGTTATGTTGTATCATCTGTCATGTCGTATCACAGTTACATGTAGTGGCAGACACTAGGGGAGGTCGCCCTCCTCCCCCGCCCCCAATAATTTTCATAAAACCCCGTGAAAGTGTGGTTCCAAATATCACAATTAACATATACAATGATCAAGTAAGCCCTTAATTTAAACAGATTCTGAAACCCCTTTGGCATACATGTTGAGGTTTCACTCGCCCCCAATATTTTGTGAAGTGTCCACCACTGGTCACCTGATGTGTATTCCCTTAAAGTGGAAACACCATGGTAAAATTTGACATGGTCCTCCCCCCACATTTCAAGTGTGAAATTATACTAAAGACTAATTCTAGGTTGAAATCACACAACTTATCCTAGGTGGGAGAATTACAGGAGGCATGTATTTCATGAAAATGCCTAGTAATCTAGATTTTAAAAAAATGTTTAGAAGGTCCTACACACATTTATTAACCTAAATCCCAGCTATGTATGACCTCTGCTATTTTCATGATTAATCCCTCAGAGGAATTACAGCAGACCAAATTTCAGTCCCATAGTGGTCATCAGGTGAGAAAACCTGGCGACTCAGTTGCTAGGTACTCGGATAGTACCACAGGCCCTCAAGCACCCAACATACTGTAACACATGTTGCAATATGCCACTTTGATGATAAGGGGCTAATAAGGATGTCTGGTAATTCATTGCACAGGCCCCAAACTTGTAAGAACATCCCTCTGATGTTCACTGTCCTCTAAATGTGGGGGTGATTTTCATATTCTTCTTTCCTGAATCCCCCCCCCCCCATTCTCCTCCCCTCTTCTGCTATTCTCATCCCCGTCCCACTCCTTTTTGATTGTCCATTTATGACATTTTGATGATCTGCATGAAAGCAATCCGCAATGTTATTAACTCTGTGCACTGTTCTAGCTGCCTTTAATTTAGTACATTGTCAGAGCTCTGACAAATGCTGCTGGCTGTAAATCACTAAATCATTAAGCTGGGCTCAATGGACAGACTATTATAATGTATTGATAACTTGGTTGACTTGACATAATGTTATTCACAATATTTCAATATGTGACTCATTGCACACTTGCATGGAGAGGGAGCTATAATACAACCGAAATAAGTGTTTACATACCCTATCGAGGGACAATTCCATTTTGCCATAGAAATGTTGACACGCTGAAATTACTTGAATGACCAGCCCAACAACGATTTATTTCGCCTCCTGAAACTTTGTACAATCGCCATGTTTTGAATTTAATTACGAAATCCGAAGAAGTGAGCCCACAGTGCTTTGGACAACACCAAATGAGAAACTTCATTTAAGTTACATTTAGATTGCTGATTCCAATTAATTCTGAAAATAATTTCTGTTGTATGATTTAGTCGATAAATAAATATGATCGTAGTGTCATATTACTAGAGTTAGTATAGGTAATAGCATTGTTTCGAGTGCAATTTGGATATAACATGCACGAGTGAGTTTTTCAAAGACCTCAAAATAGCACGAGTCCGAAGGACAGTGCTATTTGAGGTCTTTGAAAAACTCACGAGTGCATGTTTAT